CCCATAGTTCCCTGGTGCTGCCCCTTTTGTTGGATCTTTCATGATAGGTAGGTTGTGCCAGATGTTAACCAATCTTCAGTTTCACCTCCTTGCAGTATCTTGTTAAACTGCTCAGCAACAAGTGGGTGCAGAGCAGTCAGATGTTTCAACCAAAAACCATGCAGTTCATCTTCATCTGATGCTGACCAATTCTTGATCTTCCTTGCCGTTTTCTCCACCATTTCTGCTGTTATAGGTTATTAAGACCAAAGGAAGAATAGAAAAGAGACATGGCAAGGCAAAGTATTATTGCTGCTGCTGCTGCTGCTATTATTCATAGATAATGTGCCATCAGTTTGGTGTTGATCTTAGCTACCATAAAGGTAGATCTTCTCCATGATGATTTGTCCCCAACTTGGCCCTTCAGGTGTTCCAGCAGTATACCTCTCACTCCTGTGAGTCCATCCATCTTGCTGCTGGTCATCCTCTTCTCTTTCCTTCCACCTTTCCCAGCATTATAGAGTTCTCCAGAGAGCTAGGTCTTCACACAGTGTGTCCAAAATATAATTTCAGCCTGGACATTTGTGCCTCAAGTAAAAAATCTGGTTTGATTTGTTCTGTGACATATTTCTTAACTATCCATGGTATTCTCAGGAGTCTTCTCCAACTTCAACATTCAAAAGCTTCAATATCTTTCTATTCTGCTTCTTCAAGACCCAACTTTCACTGAGTGCTACAGGGAAACCCATTGCCTGCACAATTCTGATCTTTAGACATGTCACAGCATCGTGATATTTTTTCCAAGGCTTTCATGGCTGCCCTACCAATTGCTAGTCTACAGTGCATTTCTTGATTGCTGGTTTCTTTGTTGATAGTAGATCCTTAAAGGCAGAAAGTATTCACTTCAATATCTTCATTGTCAATTCTAAGGCTAGTTGTTCTACCTGTTCTCATTAGCTTGGCCTTCTTTATACAGTATTTGATTTTAATCCATTTTTTCACTGTGCTCCTTGACTTTTATTACTAGAGCTTGCAGATCCTTTGCATTTTTTGCTGGCAGCATAGTGTCATCAGCATAGCACAGGTTATTGATGCTTCTTCCTCCAACTATTAAACCATGCTCATCTTCTTCCAATTCAGCTTCCCTTGTGACCAGACTTAAATTTTGGATAGTTTCTATAAAGACTCTGCTCTCTTAAATCTATAACCCTGGGAAGGGTCAAAGGGAAGGGAAAAAGATGAAGACCAGCAGCAAGACGTATGATCAATTACAGCAGCAACTGGTCCACCATTGGAAGACCTGAAAGACCAAGTTGGGGACAGGTCCTCTTGGAGAAGGTCAATCTATGTGATTAGTAAGAGTCAACATCAACTTGATGGCACATAACCAAATACAGTGCTACCTTGGTTCACGAATGCTTCTGTTCACGAACAGTTCGGTTCACGAACAGCTCCGGTCGCAAAATTTTGCCTCCGTTCGCGAACTCCGCATCGGGTGATGAACAGGATCCGTGGCCATTTTCCCTCCCGTGACATGTGGTCGCGGCTTCCTGTAGGGAGGGGGACTCTCCCTCCAAGAAGTAACCGCCTCCCCACCCGCCTTTCTGTCCTCCTCGCCATAAGATGCGTCGAGCGAGGTTGGCTTTTTCTCTCTTTGTACTGCGCTTTGTGAGATATTTTTGGGGTTTTTAAAAA